CGGCCCGCCGGTCCGCGCTTCCTTCTCGTCCCTCGGAGTTGCGGCGCGGCCTTGCCCTCGACCTTGCGTGTGCGGCTGGCATCCTGAGGGGCAAGGAGCGGCGCCCTGGCGCCTCCGCCCCCGCCTCTGGGGCGCCGCGGCCACCTCAGATTCACAGTGCTTGGCCCCTCACTCTTCCAGGGTGGAGTGCAGGGTAGAGAGAGAAGACGGGCCAGATGGGCGCCTTGTCGTCCCATCAGCGTTTGAACAGAGCACGGCCACGGCCTGGTTGTGCTTACCCACCCCCATCTCGCCAGCCGCAAGATAAACGCTCTGTGTTACCCATCCTGTAACTTAATTTTCCCAACCATGGACAAAATATGTTCCTGAGACTGCAGCTTCGAGGGCTTCATTGGCCTCATCCATCCGATGTTACAAATGGCTACACAACGACGTTCTTTCATTCAGAAGGGGGGTGTGATGCGCGTGGTTCACTTCAAGAAAAACACATTTCATAGTTTCGGGGACTGGTTGATTCTGGACTGTCTTCGCGGGTGGGCATCGCGGAATGGGGAAGAGGGATGAGCAGTGCCATGTGTCCCCAATAGGAAGTTACTTAGGATCCATTGCAAGGTTAGACACGCACTACCAAAGACTTTAGCCAAAACAGTGGGCGTTTTACTTCGAGCCTGTGACCTAAGTCCATATGGTAAATGCTTTCTATCTAAGAACCAGAATTGCAGGTATGTTTGTTTTAATAAATCTTGATTTCAGTATCTTGGCTCTGAGTAAAGAAAGATCCGGAAACTGACTAAAAGCCAGGAATGTAGGTTCATTGTTGCCCACGATTGTTCTGTTTAGAACACATTCGTTCAATCTCTGTCATTTTTCTTTTTTTTTTGGAGAGATTTTCACTGTAGGGCGCGAGCGCTCGCCAGACAGACAGAGAGAGACATAGAGACAGAAAGCGAGAAATCACCCCCCCAGGGGGGATGGTCACGCCGCAATCCCTTCTCCTCCATTCTCCTCTTGGGATCTTGGGCACGCACGCACACGCGCCCCACGTGAGTTTTAAGCCACCGGGTCCGGGACACGAACCGCGGTCGACTACGTGGGAGTCCAGCGACATAGCCATTACGCTAACTGCTGGTTCCCAATCTCTTGTCATTTTTTCTAAAGACAAGACAATTAGGTTTAAAAATGAAGGTATTTAGGGAACCAGCAGTTAGCGTAATGGCTATGTCGCTGGACTCCCACGTAGTCGACCGCGGTTCGTGTCCCGGACCCGGTGGCTTAAAACTCACGTGGGGCGCGTGTGCGTGCGTGCCCAAGATCCCAAGAGGAGAATGGAGGAGAAGGGATTGCGGCGTGACCATCCCCCCTGGGGGGGTGATTTCTCGCTTTCTGTCTCTATGTCTCTGTCTGGTGAGCGCACGCGCCCTATAGCGAAAAACCTCTCCAAAAAAAAAAAAAAGGTATTTACAAATAATTTTATTTTCGGAGGTTGTAAGGGTCTGAAAAAAGTGATTAATTGCCCGAGAATGTGTGCACTCAAGAAAAAGAGAGAAAGCATCCTTTACAGGAGGGCACGTCACATCCCTTCTTCATTTCTTCTTCCCATCAAAATTTGGATGCAGGAGAGGTGCCTGGTGAGTTTTTCAAGGACTGGTCCTCAAACCATGGTTGACTGTGTTAGATCTGGTGGATCTGGCTCCCTTAACCCCTAGGCTATGGGGCTACCCAGGGACTGAAATTTTTAATTTTTCAAAACAATGCAGCATAATACGCTATTTAATAAAACATACACACCTTTTCTTTACAAAGAATATATATAGTTTAGTTCTTGGTTCTTTTGCTTGTTTTAAGAGAGATTTTTGCTGTAGGGTGCATGCACTCACCAGAGAGACGGAGACAAAAGCGAAAAAGCATCCTGGGGTGGGGGGTAGCCACAACTCAATCCCTTCTCCTCCAGTCTAGGGATTTTGGCACATGCACCCTGTGTAAGTTTTAAGCCGCCAGGTCTGGGACTTGAACCGCAGTCGAACATGTAGGAATCCAGCACCTTAACCACTCCATCACTTGCTGGCCCTAGTTCTTTATTCTTAGTGTATCCTTGGTATATTCTGAATAACCTATAAGCATGTATATGCATGTAAGAATGCATATCTGATTTTGTTTTCACATTTCACTTTCTAAGCCACTTATTGCTAATCAACAGCTGTCAGGTTACTCAGTGAAAGAGCCATGGTCAATAAATTTATCTGTTTGGCACTGTTTTTCTTTACATTCATTAGTATATAGTACACCTAGCAAAATGGACTGTTCCACCTAGCAAAATGAACTGTTCCAGGGACACATGGAAAGGCCAGCGTTAAGTATGACAAGAAGGCCATTAGTCAAGCCATGTCTTTCTCCTTTTATTTGGAGAGGAAATGAGTAAAAGAATACAATAGTAAGTTCCTAGAAGGTTCTTCAATCTTGACAGAATTGACTATATTTATCTTAAAAGTACCTGTAAAGCTATGTAAATCTAAAGGTTTTTAAAGATTGAGTTTCTCTGGGCATCATAATTTTGTTTTATTCTTGCTGAGAAATAAGTGTTTCTTACCAAGTACTGATTTGTGTAAATAATTGGATTCACAATATAATGAGTTTTTTAAAATATATATGACTATGCTATCTAATTCTGGTCAAAGGGATCAAGACATCAACAGCATACTTCCATTTACAAATGTTATTTGTCACAACAAAATTGACTTATAGAACTGGTAGTCCTTTTTCAAAAGACATGGTTCTGTCTGCCGAAGACCCCTGAAACCACTATAGCTAACGTGTGACCATGACTGAAGCTCTACCCAGCATGTTGAAGATGTTAGAGTAAACAAATGATGATCTTATTCTTGGAGAAGATTATCAAGGCCAAAAATTAACCTCAAAACTATACTGTCTACAGACTTCTTATGTGAGGTATGTGAGGTAGTGTCTTTATTTAATCTACTTTTAATTGTATATTGTATTTACTGAAATAAAAAGTTTCTTGCCGTTGTCAAACTGTCTCTGGTAGCCACCTTCCAAGATGGCCCCAAATCATCACCTCCTGGTATTTTTGTATAGTCCCCAAGTATATGTGCCTTTATGACTAATAGAATATGGCAGAAGTAATAAAGTGTAACTTTCAAGGTTAGTTCATAAAGGCATTGCAGTTTCTGCCTTGATCTCTCTTTTACTACTTGCTCTTGGATAAGCCACCTGCCATGTCTTAAGGATGCTCAATTATGCTTGTGGAGAAACCTCTTTGGAGAGAAACCAACTAGACATCACTAACTTGCCAGCACATAAGTGAATGATCTTGGAATCAAATCTTCCCAGTCAAGCCATAAGATGACTACAGCCTTTGACAGCTGATTGCAATCTCACAAAAGACTCCAAGCCAGAGAAACTCACTGAGCTGCTCTTGTGATTTCTAGATTCATAAAAATTTTGAGAGATAATACATTTTTGTTGTTTTCAGCCACTAAGTTTTAGAATAATTTGCTACATAGCAATTGCTATCTAATAAAGTATACTTCAGCATCAGAAAAAAAACATGTGTATCAGCATGGTATTCAGAGTCAATACTATTACTATAAGCTGTCTCATAAAGATGAAATACAATCCTTCATTTATTGAGCACCATTAAATACAATCCCAAAAATAAAATATACAAAATGAACAGAATAAAGAAGAAAAAGAGTTGAGAGAGAAACTTTCTGAGGGATTAGAGATAAATTAATGCTTAAAAAAAAAAGTAGAACTCATTTGAGTAAGGGGATGGGTTTGTTTTAAGGGACAATAGAGGGAAAGGAATTTCACTATCTCTCCATAATGCCAGTGTCCATACCTTTTTTTTTTTTTTTTTAGTTTTTTAAAGTGCCTGGGCCCTACCTTTTTTTTTTTTTTTTAGGTTTTTTTTTTTTTTTTAGTTTTTTTTTGCCATAGGGCATGAGTGCTTGCTTCAAAAAGACAGAGAGAGGCAGAGAGAGAGAAAATGAGAAATTTCCCCCCAGGACAGATAACCAGATTACATTCCCCTCTCTTCCATTCTCCTCTGGGACTTTGGGCACACATGCAATCATGCCTGGCGTGATTTTCAAGCTGCCAAGTCTGGGGCTCGAACTGGCTTAAACCACAGTTGGCCATGTGGGAGTCCAGGACCTTAACGACCACACTACCTGCTGGTCCCATATTTTAATTTTGAGGTGTTTTGTTTTGTTTTATTTTGTTTTAAGTTTCTATATTTCTTCCTTGAATGAGAGAGAGAATATCCCTCAACAAGGGTCTCCATTCCCAGCCTCAACTTGCTCCAGGTTAATAGGTACATGTGTGCACTGCATACTCAAGGGAGGTTTCCTGATGCTAACCCAGAACCTTGTCATAAGGGTCTATAGAGCATCATATTGTACTGCTATTGCCACTGTCAGGCCCAGCATACTTGAATTTGAATAACACTGTTCTGGGACACAGGGATCAAAGGGTGACATTAGTGAAGTAAAACCATTAGCAAGTCAGTCTTGGAATTCACTATCCTATCATGCATGTGGCTTACACTGGGCTTGAGAAAAGAACTGTTTTCTACCATCAAATATTCACAACAGGCATTTATTCAGAGTTATATGCTAGGAACTGAGAGATAAAGTTAAATGTATTAATTCGAC